GAAGTGCTGCAGACAGGGGAATGAGTTAATGAATAGAAGGGTTAGAGTGAGTGGGTTTGGGGATACCAGCGGTGCGTGCAGACACCAGCGGTGCATCCCTCACACTGGATACCAGACTGGGATACCGAAGGGCTGACCTTGAGAATCTGGGTGGGAAAGACAGGACGTGACATGACTCTGGATGATCAGCTGTGATGCGACGTGATTCTGGATGAATAACTGAACTCAGGAAGAACAGCTGTGACTAGACTTGACTCATGATAATGAATTGTAACCTGAATTGACTCATGACGATCAACGGTGACTTGACTAGACTCTCAACTGTGACTTGACTAGACTCATGACTCTCAACTGTGACTTGACTAGACTCATGACTATCAACCGTGACTTGACTAGATGCTGTTGTGTCCGCCATCTTGTGAGTGTGCTCCGCTGTCGCCGCCATCTTGTGAGCGTGCTCTAGTGTGGCCGCCATTTTGCGATCAGGCTCCACTGCCACCGCCATTTTGTGAGCGTGCTCGGGTACAGCCACCACTTCAATCACAAACATTGTGTCGCGTTCTTCCTCCGTGACACCCACAGTAAATAAAGAAATCAGTGCAATGCATGATGGGAAATGTAGTCCGGGGTGCTATGCAACAGTTTGTGTGGTGCGAGAGTCAATGAAAAGGAAAGTTCATGGACCGGATTCGTGACAGCTTGCAAGTTTGAGGGTTTTTGTTTTGTTTTGATTTTTTGTGTATGCATGTTGGGATCGCAACTCTGTATGATTTTTTTTCTTTTATGCATCCCCATGAACTATCCTTAGGCTTTTCACTAAAAAAAACAAAAAACAAAACTGACATTTCCTTATAAACAGTGAATAACCATTTACAATGCATTGAACTTGCAAAAAATTAAATTTGATAGTGCTCACAAACTGTATTTTAATGCAGCCAAATTTTCAATAAAACTGTTTTCACTCTTATATCTTTTTTGTTTCTGATGTAAGACAACGGGATGAATATGAAATAGAAACTGTATTTTAATGCAGCCAAATTCTCAATAAAACTGTTCTCACTGGTATATATTTTTTGTTTCTGATGTAAGACAACGGTATGAATATGAAATAGAGACTGAAACGCTGCCCATTAAGACTACCAGCTCTCCGTTAGATGTTAAAGGGATAGTTCACCCAAAAATGAAAATTTGATGTTTATCTGCTTACCCCCAGGGCATCCAAGATGTAGGTGACTTTTGTTGATTCTTCAGTAGAACACATTTGATTATTTTTAAGTCCAACCGTTGGAGTCCATCAGTCTTATAATGGACGGCAATGGTAACAAAGTCTATGAGTGTAAAAAAACATGCACAGACAAATCCAAATTAAACCCTGCAGCTCCTGACGACACATTGATGTCCTAAGACACGAAACGATCGGTTTGTGCCAGAAACCGAACAGTATTTATATAATTTTTTACCTCTAATACAGCACTATGTCCAACTGTCTTTGTGCGTGTGCATGACTTCCGGTGCGTGCGATGTGTACACGCTCTGGCGTAGTTTACGTTAATGGGTGTGTTGTCGCAGGAGGAGCAAACAACAGACATCATTTATTAACAGAAAATAAACAAAGTGTCCAGAAAAAAGGGAATCAAGTGTCCAAAATAAACAGGGGATCTGGTGTTCTCGTCGTGCTGCGGGGTTCATGAAGGGAAGAGTCCAGGTAAGGGGTGGAGTCCGGCGGCCGCTCGCGCTCCCCTCTCCGGGGCACGAGGGGCGGCTTCTATCAGCGGCTTCGTCCTTCTCTCTGCCCACGGCGCTTGAAGGGACTAGACGGCTCGGCATCCTAGCCCGACGGTCGTGTAATGGGTACGGTTCTCGTCCAGACTGCGGGTCCGGCATCTCACGTCTCTGGCGGCACGGGACACCCTCTACGCTCCCCTCCCGGACCCACAAGGACACCAATGTGCATGCACGGGGAAGAGGCCGGTCTCCCGAGGAGAGGCGCGTTCGGCATTTAAACAGCGGCGGTGATGAGGCTCCATTCGGTTCAGGTGTGCCCCATCACACTCCGTCAGCCCTGGCTATTTCAGCGCCCCTCCTCTCTCACGCACCCACTCATGTCGGGAGCCTGGCGAAGGGCGGCGATTAAGGGACGGGGTGATGCTGATAATTAGTGGGAGGCAGCCGACTCGTCACAGTGTGTTGATATCCAGCCGAAGAGCAATCAACCATAACTTCAGGCGAGCAGGCTCAGTAGTCTGTTTGAACAATCCGGATAAGCGTTTTTGATTAGCCGTCGTACCTACAATGACTGTGCACTGTGTAAACAAAGAGTGACGTACACGCGCGTATACGTAAACTACGAAATATAAATATATATATAAATATAAAAAAATATATAAATACTGTTCGGTTTCTCATACAAACCGATCGTTTCGTGTCTTAGGACATCAATGTGTCATCATGTTGATATCCAGCCGAAGAGCAATCAACCATAACTTCAGGCGAGCAGGCTCAGTAGTCTGTTTGAACAATCCGGATAAGCGTTTTTGATTAGCCGTCGTACCTACAATGACTGTGCACTGTGTAAACAAAGAGTGACGTACACGCGCGTATACGTAAACTACGAAATATAAATATATATATAAATATAAAAAATTATATAAATACTGTTCGGTTTCTCATACAAACCGATCGTTTCGTGTCTTAGGACATCAATGTGTCGTCATGAGCCGCAGGGTTTAATTTGGATTTGGCTGTGCTTTTTCTTTTTACTCTCATAGAATTTGTTACCATTGCCATGCATTATAAGACTGATGGACTCCAACGGATGGACTTAAAATCATCAAATGTGTTCTACTGAAGAAACAAAGTCACCTACATCTTGGATGCCCTGGGGGTAAGCAGATAAGCATCAAATTTTCTTTTTTGGGTGAACTATCCCTTTAATCTGCACAAAAAAATCCTGATTCATAATCACGACGCCGTCTAATTAAATCAAATACACATAAGATAAAGACAATGGCTGTGCTGTGATTTCGGCTATGTTTGCATGTAAAACTGAGTTCAAAGCGACAGAATATATATATTTTTAACAGCCGCTTGCTGAACAGAGCAGACGCAGAGAGAGGTGTGTGCGCGCTGGGAAAACAAAACCTCATGCTCGTGCGGCAGTACCGGCGAGTCTCAGAAACTAAATAAGGTTTGTCCAAGAAGTCGCTAGATTTGTTGCTAGGCGCTTTTTTGGAAAAAAGTCGCTAAAGGGGCGTATATGGACATTCAATGTATTCATCAAAAATATTTTTTCGATTCCTGATTAATGTTACTTCATAAAATCTACTAATTTCCCATCTATTAAAAGGAACTGGTTTTCTAGGAAATTAATGCACATAGCACTGTGTGGTTCTATCATTTTCCAGAAAAGCATTCAATACATCTAAGGAAAACCAAACCCTTTCCAGAGTTCCCGGTTGAGTTTTGGCTCTTGTTAGGAACATCCCTATGGTCATTCCAGCCACTTGGGCTCCATTCTCCTGTATTGATACTGCAGCCATCTGTATAAAACACGTGAACCATCAACAAATGCCAGTCCATAAATTCAACAAGAAAAAGAGGAAAACAAAAATGTTGCACATAAAATAAAGAAATTAACAACATATTCAAGAGATAACGATTTTGGATTTTTGTAATAAAAAAATAACATCTTTAAGCATTAAACTGTGGGTCATATTAGTTGGGTTAAAAATATATATTTTTAAACAACCCAAAATTAGTTGGTTATACTACAATCACAATAAAAGGACAGCTGTTTCTTCAAAAAGAACACAAAATGAGGAAGTTCATAAACATCAAAATATTTACAGATAGATTCATTAAACCTGTCGCTCTTTTAAAGGTGCAATGTGTAATATTTTTGAGAATCTGTTTACAGAAATGCAATGTAACATAAAAAATGTCTCCAGGTTACGTATGTAACTATGGTTCCCCAAAGGGAACGAGACGCTGCGTTGGAGAATGCTTTGAATTTGAACACACGCTCTGAATCACATGTGTAATCAGTCCAATGGAAGGGCGAGACGTCATAGGCGGGTGACATAGCGACCAGGAAGCTATAAAAGCATGTGAGGTGGAACCGGCATCAGCTTCTAGGAATGAAGCAAGCGCTTG